AGGTGGAATGAACCACAATGATTAAATCATGTACACTTGTAAAATGTAGGTCGATGCATGCTCATTTCCTACGAGTAGCTTTATGTTACTCACCCCTATGATACTGGGGCATATTTCAGGTACAAGATACAAGATTGGAGATTGCAATTGCTTGGGTGATTTGTTGAGTTGAGCTTCTTTAGAAGCATTCTTGTTCACATGCAAGTATTAGCATGTTCATGATTTGTCTATGAAATGTAATTTTTCTAACTTGGAGGTTTGACATGTCAAATGTTATAAATGTATTGTAATGAGGCCATAGGCCATTGTAGCACATCTATTTTATCATATTACATACACTTGCATACTCACTTTGGTAAACAATACCTTCCTTGATGAAACAAAAACTCTAAGTAGCATTTTTAGGGAGTTTTACTCTATTCTGTTCCAGGGGCATTTCGGGTATTTCACAATGCATTTTTTTTATTCTTCTTTATGAGTCACGTAGAAAACTTGATTTTGAGGGGGGTTTCTTTTTTGTTTTTTTCCAGAAAACATCATCTTGGCCCTCAAAAATCCATATTTTTCCAGAAAAATCCTTGCTGCCAGGTTTTGCAAATTTTTAGTACAAATGTAGTTGGTACTATTCATCGACTTTTTTTTGAAAATCGTCATGACCAATCTGAAACTTTCGGAGGTCTTATGGGTGTATTTTAATATTGCATTTTCAATTTAGGCAATTTAAAAACCTCCCGACCCTATTTCCAAAACTTGGGCAGTAGCTCGAATTAGTTTTTTTCCTCTTGACCTGATTTTCTTGGGGGCATTCTGGGCATTTTACAATGCATTTTTTTTGTTTCTATCCATGATCGGGGTAGGAAACTTGATTTTAGGGGAGGTTTCTTCTTTGAGTTTTTCCAAAAAAGTCCGTTTAGATGCCCGTTTTTACTCTCAATTGCAGTAGTGGTGGGTTGTCCTCGTCGGGCTGCCACGACATCATTTTTTTTTTTGACCTTTCTCCCCCGTCTGGACTCCAAATTGAGTAAAATTTTTTTTGAACTTGACTAATTTGTCATTGTCTTTCCAGCGGTGTACTCGATAGCACTTGAATCCACTTTTTTTAAAATAACCATTTTGTCCCTAGGTTCTTTTTGTCCGTTTTTGAAACGACACTTCTGTATTTGTTTCCTTTGGGTTCCGTGACCTCATTGAGGTCACATTGGTGTCTTAGAGACGCATTGTATCTCTAGAGACCGTTGTTTCACCTTTCACTTCCGCATTTCGGATCCATTATTGGGTCATCTTTTGGTCATCACTAACGCACCGGGTTTACAAAACTTGGGCCGTCACAATATATATTGTATAATATATGGCTATATGTATATATCATTTAAGATAATGAAATTATTATTCTTATTTGATATATTATATTTGGTTGGTTATTAAATTAATCTTATGCATATAATATGCATGAAATGGTTATGTGTGAATTAATTTATTGTTAAGTTTAAAGTTGATACATAGTTGAATTGTTGGCATGGATGAGTTGTCATAGGCGTAAATATATTGCCTAAGTATTTATATGAATAAAATATATACATAGGAAACATGGTTAAGTTGTTAATTTAAAAGTATAAATATATATACTTAAAGAAGTCATGGTTGAGTTGCCAATATATAAATAAATATATTTATAATGGTAAGGTTGATTTGCCAAATGTATAAATAAATATACTTGTGGAGGCATGGTTGAATTGCCAATGTATAAATAAATATATTTATAATAGCATGGTTTACTTGCCAAAGCGTAATTAAATTGCTATGCGTTAGATGATTAAAATTCTATCTATGGTTATTGAATGTGTAAGTTGGATTATGATTAGATATTCTTATATTAGAATAATCTAGTATTTAAAGGTTAATATATTATTTTATATTAATAAAATAATATTGGTGTAAACATGAATGATTTGTTAAAGTTTAGATATTGGATATGTAATTTAAATAATTACAATTATTATTAGTGATTGGATTAAATATATTTTTCCTTTAATTATATTTTATTATTTAATGGTTTAATAATTGTTTAGGATTGAATTAAGGTTAAATGAATTTCTATTTAAAAGAAATTGTGGTTTGGTCTAGGAATGACTATTAATTTAATCATTGTTTAATGGTTTTAAATTTAATGAACCTATTAATGGATATGATTAGTGTATTATATATAATTATTTATATGTATGTATATCATTGTTTATTAAAGATAAAAACTTTAATATAATTGGTTTTGGTGAGAGATGATTTGTTTATTGGTTTTCAGATGCCTGGTAGAGAGAGCTTGCTCGTAGGGTTTAACTCGCGATTTGTTTTTCAGGTTATTAGTAATTCCAAGTCTCAAGGTTGAGGATTCGCATCTGGAGGACTTATCCATTCTTTCTATTTTATTTCAAAGTAGGATATTATTACTTCAGTATGTATTGATAAATTTCTGGATAGTAGATTTTGGTTAAGCGGTCCTTGAGTTACGGGATTTCTGAGCTGTAACCATTGGAGAATTATTAATGAATTTATTATTTAATAGATTTTTCTTTAATGAGTTATTTATTCTTTATATTTTCTTTTTGTACTCTGTGCTTATTTGAAATACTTTAATTATTTTGATATCCCCTTATTTTGTGCACAGACTTGATCAACTCGTGTTCCGAAATTGGGGGTATTACATAAACCAATCCACTATGCTTGAAACAAAGTATACCGAACTTTGACTCTGGCTCACACCCTATCGTTCTACACCACACCAACCACTGATGATCTTCTGGCTTTGCGACTCCTCGTCTAACAGCAACTTGATCTCAGGCTTACACTTGATATTTGTAGAAGAGTAACCGGTAGATCAGACAACACTCCACGAATGCTCCAACCCTTTCAAAGTGTGATTGTGTTTACTTCTCTTCTTTAAGATCTGAACTCAATTGTAAAAGAATTAAATCCTGTTTCTCATTTGGAATATCTGAATCTTCAGTATAGCTCTAATTCTGATGAGATAGAAAACAACACCACTAAATTACTGATGAATATATGTGTATGCTCTCATAAATAAATTCAGAATAATCCAATTTGATTTTCTGAATTTTCTCTCTCTAGAAGGCTTTCTCAAAATATAGAATTGATTTTCCCTAAAGCCATTAATAAACCTAGATGACTACCAAGGTTTTTATGGAGTTTCTAGTCCCTCTAAAAATATGAAAAATTTCATACATAGGACTTGGAAATAAGTTAGGATTAAAAAGGAAACAATTAGAACAGGAAACTAAAAGTTCGAATGCTGTTAGGACTCTTTCTACCAGTTCCCAAATTGGCTCCCTGTTCAAGATGGACTTCTGCTACCGGTTCCCAAATTGGCTACCGGTTCAAGAAGGTCAGAAGCCTTTTCGACATACTTTGGCTACTGATTCCCATTTCTCCTACCAGTTCAAGGTTGGCAGTGACCAAACCTTTTGTGAACCAATGTTTCCTACCGGTTCAAAGATAATCCTATTGGTTCCCAAGAAGCAGAATAGAATATTTTGGTTTTCTTCAGCCTTCTAAACTCTTTAAGTATTCTCACTCACTCATATACCTTTCGAAAGCATTGTTCTCATCAACCCGGAGTGTAGCAACCCATGAACACTTGAACTTCTTTAAATCTGCATCCGATCTTCAATCTATGAAATTTTGAACTGAAAAATTACAATTCGATCGGACTTATTTTGACAACAAAATTAGCCAATTATAAAACATATCTCACAAATAACACCTGTTTGTTTCTCACTTCTTCTCTTTCCGCCATTGTGATTTCAAACACTCTCTCTTTCTCTCTATATGTGTGTGTATAATCAGTATTCGATATTTATACATGAAATTAGTCTGGACTAGAATCGCTCTATTTATAGCAGATGATGTATTACTGTGGTTTTACTTTTACCCTTTTGATTTGTAGTTGTGTTAAAATAAAAAATAAAAAATAAAAAAGAGAGAATTAGATGCGTGAAATGACAAGAGAACCCCTTTGGGGGTTGGAATCTGGACAGAGCTATTTGGGAGAGTATGTATTGAAATGTAAAAGAAAAAGTTCCTAAGCTTGGTTCTTGATTTTCTAGCACCCAAAACAACCACGTAACTTCACAAGTTCACTGCATATACTTCAGCACTTACGTCCCTTGCATTGCATTTGATTTGTTGATGATTTCTAGTACTTTGTTTGAAGAATTCCGGTAGCGGGTCTCATCCGGGATCATTCGGTCTGAAAAATGGAAAAATACCGAAATGACAACTTTTGCAATTCTAAAAGTCCTGAATCCAAATAAATGGCCCAACCAACTCTTGGATACACCCGGCACACTCTACAATGTTCGGTTCGCAAAACGAGAAAATATGAAAATGCCCCAACAAATCAGAAAATTTCAGAAAATGAAAAATGGTGAAAAACAGAAATATTACACAGACTTCGATGTTTGATAGGATGATGGTTGAGATTCTAGATCTCAAGCTACAAATGGGACAGATAAGATGATAGCAGCCAGGGGTTCTTACAGAGGATGTTTATAGGCTTTCACCTCCAGATCCGTCTATGAGAGCTGGGTTGAAGAAGAAGAAGATGATAGTGATGAGTATTCTAGAGATGAGGATAACGATGAGGATAATTAGGTGGATAGTGGTGAAGATTAGATTTGATGAATTTTTTGACTTTTTGTTAGATAATGATGCTGACTTTTTACTCATACATCATGACGTCATACTACTTTTGTTAATATGGTCATTACTTTTTGGATATTTTATATGCTTTAATGACATATTTGAATGTTAAATCTGATTCTCTTCTCTGAAATTTATGCTTTGTCAATTTGTCACAAAAAGGGGGAGATGATGAATGTGATTTTAAGGGGGAGAAATTACAGATTTTGGGATCGTTACCTAAGGGGGATTTTTATAATTTCTTTATTAAACGTCACTAGTAGTTTTGCTTGATATTGTGCAGGAAATTAGGTCAAGCAGTGTATCCAAGAAGAGAAGAGGACAGAGATGAAATTTCGTGTTTTTGCCTTTGAACAACATTGTATTTTACTTTTCTGCTTTGGGTAGATTGCTAAATTGTTTATTTGGTATTTTGAGACCATTCTGCAGCTAGCAATCCTACTACGGTCCCTCATATTGAGGAGCACTGCGTCCAGCATCTTTCCCCTAACATTCTCAAAGTAAATGTCAATGCCTTCAGGACAGTACCTGGCAACAGAATAATATAATTATCTTATACAATTCATGTTAGAAGCACTTCTGCACAAAGAGAGTTGGGATGAAATAGCTCTGGGACTCTCTGTGAGATAAAGGGAGCTACACTTTTGCACAAAAATGTAGGCCAACCGTTGAACCAGATAACAGCAATTGTAACAACTAATGGTATATGTTTGAGAAATCACTCCTCTCTTTTTTAAGTAATGATGATCTCGGCTTTTAATGTTATTATGATGTTGATGATTGAATCTCGTACTGGATGATGGATTTCCAATAAGAATTATATTTACAACACAAAAAAAGAATGACAAACCCTTGAGTTTTAAAGTAATATTTTGGACTTCAATGTGCAAAATAAAGGTACCCACCTTTTCAAAGCTGCATCCAAGTTATGCTTTTCTTTGTAATTGAATGCATCATCGAAACCAAACTTGTTCTTCAACAGATCAACCTTACTCAAAATAAAAGCAAAACTAACAGGTTAGATATTGTTTAGAATAATTGAATCATCTAACCACAATATTTGTTCCCAAAAAAAATAAATCCATAATGAATAAATTTAGTGAAACTAAAATATCTACATTTGGATACTTCATTCCTTCTGAAATTTGTCAACCTAGTTTCTAGCAATTAAGTTTCCATCCACACAAATAGCTATTAGGTTGACTTCTGATTGACGGATTTTAAACAAATAGATTTCTATTTGGTCATTCAACATTATAGCTAAGATTTGGATTTCATCAATATCCATGGATGGTTTAAGAACTTTTTGGTGTATTTAAAATAAACAAGGTGAAGGAAGTTATTTAGAATTCGTCCCATGAAAGCATTTGTTGCACAGAGACAAGTTGGTAATTCTCCTACTGCTACTACTCTATCCTGTCTCCCATCTCTCCCAGTTTTACTCTAATAGTCATAGTCAGTATTTGTCAATTGAAACTCAAATTCCTATCATTTTAAATTAGTAATTCAAACAAAACCTCAATATTTTCACTGAATGAAAGGCACAAATCACGAAAAAAATTTGCAGTCCATGAATTGTACGGCAGTGCAGTGTGAAGAGAAATACAAAGTTGTTCAATATCAGGATTATATGCGGTTTTGAAATTATTTATTGAAAAATGTCAAGAACCAATGGCGAAGACAATCAAGAAAGCGAATCATTGCAGGGAAATTGATTCAATCACAATTTCGAATGACAATACAACATACATGACACGATGAGGATACCCATTGTTAATTAATGGAGACTGTCAAATATGTAACTAAAGCATCCACCAGAGAATGGCTAGTGAAAGAATGAAATGGTATATAGACAAGACTCATATTTTCTTTACTTCCGGCACTTCCAACAACATGGCACCCCATCAACTTTGCAAACTGCCCAACGAACTGACCAACTGCACCAGATGCTGCAGAGACGAACACATATTCTCCTTTCTTAGGAGTACAAATCTCATAAAAACCAAAATAAGCAGTCATTCTGGGCATACCTAATGAGAAACAAATGCACAAAAATTAGACGGGGCATTAGAAATATTAATGACATAACTATGAAAAAGATGCATCTAATTCTAATACTATATGATACTACTGATATATTTGCAATGAACCAAAATTTTAGTACTCTACTTTTAAAGTGGAACTTTGAGGGTTTGAGTCCCTATAGAGGTAATTGTTGGTGCATGTGTGTAAGTTGGCCGAGTGTTATTTTATTTTCACACTTATTATGTAACTCTAATTTTATAGGAGTATAGTGAGGCTGTGGAAAATCATTCTGAACTCTGTTTCATTTTGCAGTACTTCATCATAGTGAAATCCTGATGACTTCGTGAACCTAACTCAAGTTTTAAGTGAACCACATAAATTTGCATGTTCATATTTGTGTGATTGTTTTCTTTTACAGTTCATTAATTTTTGCTACAAAAAGAAATTCCAAGGATTGTCATATAGGCATACACAATGGACTGCATGTATCCCCTTAAATGAGATCAATTTATTTGGCATTATATCAGACTCATACAGATTATATTAGTTATATATTAGTTGCAAATATTTAAATTTTAATTGCAAATGGCTACATACTTACCCAGAATTCCTGTATAACTTTTGCTACTTCATACCCAGTAATCACCTGCAATATTTTCACCATGAAAATTCATATACACAAGTTTAAGTATTTAAGAACCTGCACTATGTGTCGTGACCCGAGTTTTATTCAACCCGGTGTGTTAGTGATGTCCCAAAAGTCGACCATAAATAGATCCTAGAGATAGAAGTCATCTCTAAGGCACTAATGTGACCTTCCAGGAAGTCACGGAAGTTAAGGAGAGCGAAAGAGGAAATGAGAGTCAAAACGGACTAAATCCGTCAATTAAGGGTAAAATGGTCAATTCACAATTAAAAGGAGAAAATTGACTCTAAACAAGTCAAACAAGGTGAATACAACTTAATCAAATCATTTCAAAACATTCCAAGAGGTTCTAAGAACTTTGGCCAAGAATTCCCCAAAAACGCCCTTTTCCCGGTTTAAGCAAAAACTGACCCTATCTCACTAAAACATGAATATCTCCCATTGTGATTGGAATCTGAGAATGGAATTGGTACCATTGGAAATCTGACTCAAAATCCTTGAGTTTAGGCTTAAGAATCACCCCATTTGGGTTAGAAATAAAAGAGATATGACCCTTTGAAGTTGGAACTTCAGTGCTAAAACCTAATCTGGAAGGCAGGTGTATGAGGGGAGTTTCGGTCGATCAAACTGGAGTTTCAGTCGACCGAACTAGACACAAAGTTGCTGAAAACATGTATTTTTCAGAGGAGGGAGTTTTGGTAGACCGAAATTGAGTTTCGGTCGACCGAAATAACTCTGAACAGTGAAAAAGGTTACTGGAATGGATGATTTTGTGACGACCCTAGTTTTTAGGCCAGCACGTCCTATGATGAACTGAAGATTTACCCGATAACGGATCTGAATGTGGAAGTGAAAACAGAAAACAAGACTCTAAAAAGTCAAAGTGACCTTCCATGAGGTCGTGGAATTCAATAAGAACTGATGCGGAAGTAGCAGATTGAAAATATGACGAATAAGCCCTTAGGGGCAAAATGGTCTTTTCTAAAAATATGGATTCAGGTACCACCGAACACATCGTTGGAAAGACAACGAAAAACTAATTAAGATGGACTGAAGAATCGCATGATTCGGAGTCCGGACGGAAGAGAAAAGTCAAAACAAAGTTTTGACGTCACCGCGGCCGTAAATAGTAACCTGGGAAAAATGCTAAAGTTCGTGTGCCTTTTTGAGGTACTAAACGATACTTTCTGGAAAAACACGAAGAAGAAACCCCCCTTAAAATAATTTTTCCAAGCTTACCATGTCAAAAGAAAAATTTATTTTTGACGTGATATCCCCAAAATGCCCTTACAACAGACTTTTTCAAATTGTGTAGGTGCGCATAGGAAATCAGATTTGACGCAGGGTTTTTGGATCCGAGATGACATTATCTGGAAAAATGTTGTGAAGAAACCCCCCTAAAATCATGTTTTCTATGTGACTATGTCAAGACCAGAATTTGTTTTTCAAAGAAAATTCCCGAAATGCCCCTAAATCAGAACTAGACAAGAGGGCAAAAGTTGCTACAGTGACTGTCCTGATCTGAGAGCAGAAACGGGCTAGAAGATGAATTTTTATGAAAAAATACGAAAAAGAAACCCCTCCCGAAATCGAGTTTTCTACATGACTCAACAGAGAATTAAAAAAAAAAAACTCACTGTAAAATGCCCAAAATGCCCCTCCATGAAATCTGGTCATTAAAGGCCAAAAAGCTGCTAAATGCAAAATTGAATGCTGAACTTTGCGATGGATTTCTGATGCCAAGACGACATTTTATGGAAAAACATGAAAAAGAAACCCCCCCTAAAATCATGTTTTCTAAGCGACCATGTCAAAAGAAGAAAATAAAATTGATGTGTAGAATGCCCCTAGATCAGATTGTGCAATAAAAGTGCAAAATGAATCCCTAGGAGGCTCAATTTGCCAAGGAAGAGGTTTTTCTTGAAAACAATCATGCACGCAAACGTAACTTACCTATTAGGACGTGCTACAATGGTCCATGGCTTAAAAATACCACCGATGCAAAATTTGACCCCCCAAAGGCCAAAAGGGCGAAAATGCACATGAAATGAAAAATTTGAAATTTAAAATTGACAAATGATTTCAAATTACCGTTTGGCCCTTAGCCACACTTCATACAAGTTTAATGAGACCTAGTAGAGGTGCCGGAATACACTTTGCACCACCCGATTTGAAAATGAACCCTTAGAGGCTCGGTTTCTACTATTTTAGCCTAAAAATGCAATATGTGAACTAAGATGCAAAAATGAAAACTAAATGGTGTTTGGCCCTTGACCACACCTCACATATAGAAAATGAATGCTAAAGGATGAATTACATACACAATGCACATACCGGTGTGAAAATGACATATTGAAACCCAAGATTTCATTCTTTTCTCATTAAAGGCAAAATTCTACATTTTTCAATATACATAGATTACAAATGAAGTTTGGCCCTTGGCCACAAATTATATACATAGAATGAATATAAAAAAAGTGTGCTTAAGCACATAATACAAGTTTGGAATCAAATATACACATTTGACAAAATGGCTACAAATGGCATTTCAAGCCAACCTTCACAAGAATGGAAATCTTCAAGTGTACTAATCATCCAAGCATAATGAGAATCTCAACATTGATTCCTGTACATGAAAAATGTCCCCACTACGTGGGTGAGTAACATAAAGCTACTAGTAGGAAATGAGCATGCATCGACCTAGCATTTTACAATTTTATCACCTTATGGTGAAACCTGTTAAAAGGTTCATGCCACCTAACGTCTATGTCAAAATGAGACTCAGGAAGCATCCTAAGCTACCTTAGAGTGTTTTTAGTATAAATCACATCATTTATACATTTCAACAACATAGAAACATGTTATACAAAGCAACAAGATATAGATTCTCAAAGTCATCAACTTGAAACCTAAAATATGAAAATAACAAGAGTGGGTCATGCCACCTAACGTCTATGTTCAAAATGAATCTATAGGATCATTCCTAAATTAAATTTGAACATCAAAACACAAATCATGATATCGATACAATTTAACCAACATTGGAACTCCCAATACAATGCATAAAGCATGATTTCTCAAAGTTAACATCTTGTAACTTAAAATGGTAAATCAAACAAAGAACAACAAGTTACGATATCATCTAGTTATCAACTTGAAAAGAAATGCGAAATCAACTAAAGTGGATACTTGGACGTCACGCCGGATTAGACCGACACCATAGTTACTTTAGGGTTACTAGCCCACGGGTAACCTCCCTATGTGCGTACTAGACTATATAGAGGGACAATCCCCCGTACTAGAACCAAGTCCTAGCCGTAGCCAAACAATGACATCCCCAAGTTTCCAAAATCAACAAGTTGTGCAACAACGTATATATCAACATGTATATACAAGATATCAACTATCTACCAAGCACAACCAAATTTGGAAACACATATAATACATGTACTAAGTCCACAACTACTATGGCATGACAAATGTTGAATCTTCAGTGTGCGATTCGTTACACGCTATAATAATATCTTTCAACATTGAAAACATAAGCTTATGAATTTAAATATAACAACAATGTTATCAAATGCTCAAATGTAACCAAGTGAATACATAACAAGTCCAAGTCCATGATTTAAACATAGAAACAACTTCCAAGACGCAATTAAATCCATGGAGCAATTAGATATAATTTAATTAAATAAACACAATTAAATTCTCTAGATTCCAATTCAATTCCAAATAACCTCAAATTAATACATATTAAAGGACATAGCATGGTCATCACCTATATCCATTCTAAATCTCAATTAGGTTGTTGGAGTAATAAAGTGGAATTTTAATTAAATCATGCTAATTTAAATCCCAAGGTTCTAAAACAACTTCAAATGGTCCCAAATTACTATATGCTAGTAAACAAGTCATGGTCATTACAAATATCAAGTTAAAAACTTAATTAAGCCAAAGGAACCATTAAATATATTTTAATTAATCCTTTTAATTAAAATCTCTAGATTTTCAAACTCATCTAAATGTTCTCAAATTAACATATTTTAGGGAACATGCCAAGGCCTATTGTAATATCACATTTCAAGCTTATTTCATGCAAGTTACATCTATGTAAATTTAATTTTCACCAAAGATAAATATTAAATGAAAGTTGCAATTCTCATTCAAATGATTCCAATTTAATATATGTTAACAAGTATACCAAGGTCTAAATTACTAGCATGCCACACTTTAATTCCAAGTTGTATATCATTATGAGGATTAAATCTCAAACAAAGAAATTAATTAAATGAAAGGTTTCAAAACCTAATCAAATATTCTAGATTTAATATATGTGAAAGTATATGGCATGCACATTAAGAATATTAAGTCGGAATTTCAAAGAAATGAATAGTGCACTTGGAGCAAATTAATTAATAATTACTAGATTTCAAAACATCTCCGATTACTTTCAATTTCACATATGTTGAAAAGTGTATTAAAGCCTAATATAATATGCTAACACATATTGATTTCAAGCTTGATAAGGCCACATGAATTAAATATTTACTCAAGAAAAATATTAAATAAAATCTTCATTAGTTGTTTAAAAATTCTCAATTTAATATATGTCAATGACCATATCAAGAGGTAATACAATTCCATGCCACATGTTTAAACAATGCTATAATTAACTAGGAAAATCAAATCCTTCACAAGAAAAATAAATAATAAAATCTCTAGATTTGTTACCAAAGCATGTAAATAAGTTGCATAAACATCACTAGCATTCAACATAACAAGAATAATAACCTATAACACCCCCTACCTCAATTTGAGATGAAAATCTCAAATCCCCACCGAAACGAAACGGCTCCAAATTCGACAATACTTTAGGGTTTTGTCGGAGACAACATGGTGAACAAGAATCCCAAGGAAGCCCCATGAAAATCACAACTTGACTTCAAACCCGAACTCAAGAAATGGTCAGAAATTG